TATTCTATTCTATTCTATTCTATTCTATTCTATTCTATTCTATTCTACTCTACTCTACTCTACTCTACTCTACTCTACTCTACTCTACTCTACTCCACTCCACTCCACTCCACCCTACCCTACCCTACCCTACCCTACTCTACTCTACTCCACTCTCCACTCCACTCCACTCCACTCCACTCCACTCTACTCTACTCTACTCTACTCTACTCTACTCTACTCTACTCTACTCCACTCCACTCCACTCCACTCTACTCTACTCTACCCTACTCTACTCTATTCTAAATGCTTTTAAGAAAAACTTGGGGATGTCTCTGTGAAGTCACCAGGAACTGAGCTTATCTCAAGGGAGGCTCTGATTTAATTTATGTAAAGAGAAAGAAAATTTCCCTCGTTATAAACAAAAAACAAAAAACCATAGGAAAACAAAGGCACTCAACAGATCGCACTGGCTGGCGAATCAGTGCGATTTCAGGAAACCAGACAAGATGGCTTAACCAGAAGATGATTAACAGGTAGACAGACAGGCTGGTGCGCACGTATCTCTAAAGTCTTCCTTTGGATAATAACTCGCCTCTAATACATTATGTCAGGTAGGCATGCTGCAATTAGGATGGAATAAATGGAGTCCCCCATTGGGGAACCCATTCAGCACATTTGCATCTTTTTAATTTATTGCTCTGTCCTTCCTAGCCTCTTCCCCGAACTTTTGGAAAAGACGTAATTCTGCTTGGGCAGTTGAGCAAGGTCTGTCTCTTCTCTCTCTCTCTCTTTCCTCGTGAGGGTGGGGACAGAGGGCAGCCTGCCAAGCGAAACGAAATGAGGGCAAAGATTAAAGGTGCCAACAAGGGAAGTTAAAGTAGCACCGAACATTTCGCAGTGTAGATTGTATCCAGAGGGAATGGAAGATTTTTGTAGGAGCATTTTGCTTTGGTTTTTTTTTGTGTGTGTGGGGGGAGGAAGTGCAGCCGTGCCGATTTGTAACTCGGTGGGAACTAATAATGATTCACTCAACAACATATCATTTGTATTATTTGCACAAATCTTAAGTGTGCAAAGCCAGAGAAGAACCAATCCCTTTCTTTCTTTCTTTCTTTCTTTCTTTCTTTCTTTCTTTCTTTCTTTCTTTCTTTCTTTCTTTCTTTCTTTCTTTCTCTTTCTTTTTGTCTCTCTTTCGTTCTTTTTCTCTCTCTCTCTTTCTTTCTTTCTCTTTCTGTCTCTTTCTTTCATTCTTTTTCTCTCTCTTTCTTTCTTTCCTCCTCCTCCCTCTTTCTTTCTTTCTTTCTTTCTTTCTTTCTTT